AGTCTTGGATTAAAACCCAATTTGTATGCACATAGAATAGCTACCCCCTGCTCTTTTCTAGGTTTTTGTTGCATGGGGTATTGTTTTTCATCCTTTGACTTTGTCTACGAATTTATATTTTAGTTGCACATGTGTTTTGTATGTAGCATATTTTTGATGATGATTCTTGATCCATTGTTCCAATCTGTTTCGTCTGATTGGTGACTTGACATTGCTTACGTTGATGCTTATGTATAGATATGCATTGAGTTGGCCTTGTCATGTTATTTTACTCTTGTTCATTCTTTTTTTCCCCCTCTGTGTAATTACTTGCCTTGCCTAGTGGATTCATTCTTTTGGGGTTCATGGAGTTGTAGTCTTTGATGTTTTAGTGATGATGGATTTCTTCAGGTGTTCTTTGTTATGGAAGTATCTTAGTTATCCACCAATTTTGAAAGGTAGTTTTGTGGGTTACATCAATCTTGGTTGGAGGTTGTTTCTTTTATGGTTTGAAATATTTTAAGTTCTCCTTGACTTTAAAGGTATGTGTACTGAATTCTGCTGTGATTCTGATGGATGTACCTTTATAGGTGATTATTCTTCTCTACAGCAGCTTTATTATTCTGTTCTTGTGTTGAATTTCTAGAATCTTGACAACTATATGCCTTGTGTACTTTTTCTTTACCATGACCCTTTGGGGTTCTATATGCCTCAAATAATCTGTATGTCAAATTCTTTTTCCATTCTTGTTTTCTGCTGTTACTTCTGTGAACAGGTTTGTTAGGTCATTTATACCATTCCCTGCTTTTTTTGTTGACTGAAATCAATCATGTTATTTTTTATTGCATCATCTAACAGGGTTGGATTGATTTTTCATGTTCCTTTACTATTTCTAAGAGAACTATAATCACTAAGTGCATTCCTATCTTCTGTTCTCAAATTGGTTAATTCTGCTGTGTGGAATTTGAATAAACTTTTTAATCTTCTGGATATCTGTTTGAAACTGTTTCAGGTATTCTATTTCTTTCCTATGTTGGGTGTCCATGGTTTCCATCCTTTTCCTAAGGCTCTCTCTCTCTCTCTCTCTCTCTCTCTCTCTCTCTCTCTCTCTCTCTCCCCAGATTCATTAAGGATGGCCTTCATTATGGTCATCATCTCCATAGTTGAAAATTATTTCTGATGTGATGTTTTTCCAGAATCTCCTTAATCTGCTTTGTTACTTCCACCATTACCACTTAGGAAAGTCCATGTGGGTGGCTTTCCAATTTTTCCTGAATTGGCTGAGTTCTCCTTTGGTGAGCTGGAAGTCTGGAGTTGCATTATGCTTCCATCTTCTCATTTTCTATGTTATTTTAGTTCACGTCCTCCATTGATGCTTGTAAATGGCTTATGGCAGGTAGCTTTATGGTTAGTATCAAGAACATTTAGGAAATGACTTCTCAGAGATATCTTCCATGTTTATCGGGCTTTTAGCTTTTGAGTTTTTTGCAAGATCCTACTTTTTTCAATTTACTGGGGATGAGAAGTTGGTCTAGCCCCTTGTTCTATGGCACTGGCATATAGTATTTTTCATAACATTCAGGTAATCTCATTCTAGGCATCCAAAAAGCAATTGATTAGAGCAAGTATGTGACCTTAGATAAAGTACTATAATCAATAACAACAATTGCACCAATCACAATATGAAAAATGACATACTGGTAAACACTAATTCGCCACCTTTAACTATAGGAACAAGATTTGTGGTTATATAACAAAATTTAAAAGAAACCAGAAAACTGCATGGGAAAACATCCCCTCACTATGGTGAGAAAAAAAATCAAGGAAAGGAAAAAGAAATAAAGAAAATGTCAGGGGCCAGGGTAATGGCTCAGTAGAATAAGTGCTTCCCTGGCAAGTGCAAGGGCCTGAGTTCAATCCCCAGTTCTGGGGAGGGAGGGAGGTTTTATAAGAACAATGTTTATGTGGTGCGGG